TGGTTTTAGCCGTGCACCTCTTGGAGGGGAAGGCTATGGTAAATCCAGTCATATAGTCAATGAACACGAGTAAATGGCGATCACGCCCGCCCGTTTTCAGCAAGGGTCCGATAAAATCGAAATAAACCTTCTCCCAGGAGCACCCCATTTGGACATGCCCGATTTGAGTTTTCCATGGCACTGAGTTTGGATTAATTTGAATGAATCACATACAACCCACCACGTAGTTTTTAACCTCCTTCTTAATATTGGGCCACCAGTATTCCCTTAGAATTTCCCTGGTCCCTTTTCTCCCATTGTGGAGACGATCACATGGGCCATCATAATTAAATACCCCCTTACTCGTTTTGGTGGAATAAATTGATTTAAGGTCTCCCTTCATCAGTACAACTTGAACCCCTCCACCAGAAGCTTTTTACCTCTGGCCCAGAATGGAAGTTTCTCCATTTGCCCTGACTCCAGGAGTGTCGCTAACTTAATTAATTCAGGGTCAGAAGTAAAATCACAGTTTACCACCCCTGTTACTGATAGCTTATTATTATTATTATTATTATTATTATTAAGCTTGGCAGCCTGTGGCAGCTTGTTCAAGTAGCATGCAAAGCGAGCGAGCAGGTATTGTCGCTATTGTGCACACCATCTTTTTGGTGTCCAGGCGTGTGCCAAACTTGGGTTAAAAATTTCTGCTTTTTCTTCTCCCAATCTGTTGCCAATATTGCTTGTGGAACAAAAGTTTTCCCTTATCGTTCATCCAATTTTTCACAGCCCACTTAGTTAAGTCATCTGTGTAGGCTCGACACCCATAGGCTGAATCACCAACGATAACAACACTACCAAAATTACATTTGTGTAGCGGCTTTCACGTCAGGAGGATGTCCCAAGGTGCTGGACAGTCAAGTTTTGGACCCAAGTTGGAAGTCAGGATTGGGGAGGATGGAGGGCAGGGTTGGAAGCAAGGGGCTCAAAAGCATGCTCGAAGAGGAGGCTCTTGAGATGGATCTTGAAGGAGGCAAGGGAGGGGGTGAGACAGAGGGACTGCAGGATGCAGTTCCAGAGTGTAAGGGCAGAGTGGCAAAAGGCCCGCCCAAAATGATGGGGAGAGCGAGGTGGGGGACGTGAAGCAGGCCAGAGCCCGCTGAACGGATGGAGCGGGCAAGATGGTTGGGGGTTAGTAGTTCGTAGAGGTACTGGGGAGCAAGATCATGGAGGGCTTTGAAGGTGAGGACCAGGATCTTGAACTGTATTTGTATGATGGGAAGCTAGTGGAGTCAGGCGAGGATGGGGGTGATAGGGTCATGCAGCCTAGTGCGGGAGAGGACACAGCTGCAGAGTTCTGGATGATCTGCAGTCTATGGAGGGAGGAGTTGGGGAGGTCGACAAGCAGGGAGTTTGCATAGTCAAGCCTCAATGTAATGAAAAAGTGTATGAACGGTTCAGTGGCCTGTGGTGTGAGACAATTGTGCAGCCAGATGATGTTGCGGAGGTGGGGGAAGGCAGAGCGGGTCACGGCACAGATGTGTGGTAGAATGGTAGAAAGGATAGTTGGGAGTTAACCAAGATGACAAGTTTCCAGACTGGCTTAGCAAAGTGAAGAGTGCATTCATGGATGGTGATGCTGTCAGCGCCTGAGATGTGAATGCGCTGATGGGAGCCGATCAGGAGAGCCTCGGTCTTGTTGACGTTCAACTGAAGAAAATTAGCTCTCATCCAGGAATTGATGTCTGATAACCGCCTTTGCGTCTGACGGGAGAAGCTTGAGAGAGAGCACAAAGTGAGAGAGCACAGTGAGAGAGTACACAGTGAGAGAGGAGAGTGAGATAGCGCACAGATAGAGCAAACAGTGAGAGAGCACACAGTGAGAGAGTACAGTGAGAGAGTATACAGTGAGAGAGTACAGTGAGTGAGCACACAGTGAGAGAGGAGAGTGAGAGAGCAGAGTGAGAGTGCACAGTGAGAGCACACACAGGGAGAGATCACAGCAATAGAGGAAACAGTGAGAGAGCACACAGCGAGAGAGCACAGTGAGAGAGCACACAGTGAGAGAGGAGAGTAAGAGAGCACACAGTGAGAGAGGAGAGTAAGAGAGCACACAGTGAGAGCACACAGTGAGAGAGGAGAGTGAGAGAGCGCACAGTGAGAGAGTACAGTGAGAGAGCACACAGCGAGGGAGCACACAGTGAGAGAAGAATGAGATCACATAATGAGAGAGCACACAGTGAGGGAGCACACATTGAGTGAGTACACAATGGGAGAGGAGAGTGAGAGAGCACACAGTGAAAGAGCACAGTGAGTGAGGACACAATATGAGAGCGAACAGTGAAAAAAACAGTACCAAGTGAGAGTGCACAGTGAGAAAGCACACAGTAAGGGAGTACACAGTGAGAGCGCACAGTGAGATCACACAGTGCGAGAGCACACAGTGAGAGAACAGTGAGTGAGCATACAGTGAGAGAGCATACAGTGAAAGAGGAGTGTAAGAGAGCACACAGTGAGAACACACAATGAGAGAGGAGAGTGAGAGAGTGCACAGTGAGAGAGGAGAGTGAGAGAGCACACAGTAAGAGCGCACAGTGAAATCACACAGTGAGAGAGCACATAGTGCGAGAACAGTGAGAGAGCATACAGTGAGAGAGCATACGGTGAGTGCAGAGCAGACAGTGAGAGAGCACACAGTGAGAGAGCACACAGTGAGTGAGCAGACAGTGAGTGAGCACACTGAGAGATCACAGCAATAGAGCAAAGAGTGAGAGAGCACACATTGAGAGAAGAGTGAGAGTGCACAGAGTGAGAGCACACAGTGAGAGAGCACACAGTGAGAGAGCAAACAGTGAGAGAGCAAACAGTGAGAAAACACACAGTGAGAGATCACAGCAATAGAACAAACAGTGAGAGAGCACACAGTGAGAGAGCACAGTGAGAGCGCACAGTGAGAGAGCACACAGTGAGAGAGCACAGTGAGAGCGCACAGTGAGAGAGCACAGTGAGAGCACACAGTGAGAGAGCACACAGTGAGAGAGCACAGTGAGAGCACACAGTGAGAGAGCAGTGAGAGAACACACAGTGAGAGAGTACAGTGAGAGTACACAGTGCGAGAAGAGTGAGATCACACAATGAGAGAGCACACAGTGAGAGAAGAGTGAGATCACAAAGTGAGAGAGTACTGTGAGAGAGGATACTGTGAGAGAGCAAAGTGAGAGAGCACACATTGAGTGAGCACACAGCTAGAGAAGAGTAAGATCACACAGTGAGAGCACACAGTGAGAGAAGAGTGAGATCACACAGTGAGAGCACACAGTGAGAGAGCACACAGTGAGAGAGCACACAGTGACTAGCACACAGTGACTGAGCACACAGCGAGAGAGCAGCGTGAGAGCACACAGTGCGAGAGCAGACAGTGAGAGAGGAAAGTGAGAGAGCAGAGTGAGAGTGCACAGTGAGAGAGTGAGAGAGCACACAGTAAGAAAATACTGTGTGCTTTGCAAGAGAGAGACCTGAGTTCAACTCCAGGCAGGGCGAAACCTTGGGCAAGTTTCCTTACCCCACACAGTGAGTGAGTACACAGTGAGAGTGCACAGTGATAGAGCACAGTGAGTGAGCACACAGTGAGGGAAGAGAAAGAGAGCCACACAGTGAGAGAACAGTGAGAGAACACACAGTGAGTGAGCAGACAGTGGGTGAAAACACAGTGAGAGTTCAAGGCAAAAGAGCAAACAGTGAGAGAGGAGAGTGAGAGAGCAGAGTGAGAGTGCACAGTGAGAGCAGACAGTGAGAAAGCACAGTGAGAGAGCGCACAGTGAGATAGCAAACAGTGAGAGCACAGTGAGTGAGCACACAGTGAGAATGCACAGTGATAGAGCACACAGTGAGATAGCACACAGTGAGATAGCACACAGTGAGAGCACATAGTCAGAGAGGACACAGTGAGAAATGAGAGTGAGAGAGCAGAGTGAGAGCACACAGTGAGAGAGCACAGTGAGTGAGGACACAATATAAGAGGAGAGTGAGAGAACACACAATGAAAGAGCAGCATGAGATCGAACAGTGAAAGCACACAATGTGGGAGAGAGCACACAGTGAGAGAACAGTGATAGAGCACACAGCGAGAGAGCACAGTGAGAGAACAGTGAGATCATCCAGTGCGAGAGCGCACAGTGATAGCACACAGTGAGAGAGCACACAGTGAGAATGCACAGTGATAGAGCACACAGTGAGAGAGCAGCGTTAGAGCACACAGTGAGAGCACACAGTGAGAGAGCACAGAGCGAGGGAGCATACAGCGAGAACGCACAGTGAGAGAGGAGAGTGAGAGAGCACAGTGAGAGAGCACACAGTGAGAGAGTTCCTAAATGGGTACTTTGCATCTGTCTTCGTCCTGGAAGACACAACAAGCCTGCCAACAATAGAGATGCATCAAGGGGATAAGGACAGGGAGCAACTTAGGGACATTTTCATTAGTAGAGAATTGGTGCGAGGGAAACTGTTAGCACTAAAAAGTGACAAATCCCCTGGTCCGGATGGCTTGCATCCCAGAGTTTTAAAAGAGGTAGATTATGAGATAGTGGAGGCCTTATGTCTGATCTTCCAAAATTCCTTGGAGTCTGGAACAGTTCCCATGGATTGGAAGATCGCAAATGTCACACCACTATTTAAAAAAGGTGGTAAGGAAAAGATGGCCAGTTAGGAAAAGATGGCCAGTTAGTATAAAACTATAGGCCAGTTAGTCTCACATCAGTGATAGGAAAAATTTTAGAATCATTGATTAAGGATGTGGTAGTGCGGTATTTAGGGGAGCACAATATAATTAGGCCAAGTCAACATGGCTTTACAAAAGGGAAGTCATGTTTGACAAATCTCATAGAGTTTTTTGAGGATATTTCCAGTAAACTAGATGAGGGTGAATCAGTGGATGTGGTCTATTTGGACTTCCAGAAGACATTTGATAAGGTGCCACATAAAAGGTTAGTCCAAAAGATAAGGGCCCATGGAATTGGTCTTGTGGGAATGTAAAGGGACTAAATCACGTGAAGTACAGAGTGTCTCGACAATGATAAGATTAGAGTTGTTTTTGAGCAACAGTGTAGATAATTAGAGCAGAACCAGTGTCCTTGTACTGTCTGCAAATGTATAATCAAGCTTGTGATGATTGAATGTTGCTTGTCAATCAACAGCAAGAATTGTTTGAGACACGAGTTAAGCATGAGGTGATCGCAAATAATCATATATATAAACTAATGGGACTGCCCCATTGGTAGAGGGAGAGTACTAACTCTTCTGAGAGACGTGCTATTGTATTGCCTCTCGCTTTCCCTCTCCTTGCTGCAAGTATTAAATGAACAATATTTCTGAGCTAACTCTGTTTGTGAGTGTTCGTTTAATCCTAGCTACAGCGACTACATCCTGGGTTCGACAATTTGGAGGTTTCACCGAGATGGTATGCCTGAGCATTCGGGAAACGGACGACTAAGGGAGGGATTGTTAGTGAATAATTTCACCGCGGTATACAAACGGTAAGCCTTTATTTACATTGAAATTGTTTACTCTCAGTTTTGACCATTTTGTTCCGCTCCTGGTGTTGATGGTACTACCATCTAGTGTCTAAATTGTAGTCTGTTCTAGGAAATGAACTGGCCAGAAAAGTGTACGCTTGAGGAAGTATGAATTAACCAGGGTTCGAGTCCCGTACGAGTTAAAGTATAAGAAAATAAAAGGTTTTAAAGTATAAGAATGTATGAGCTAAAGTATAAGAAAATAAAAGGTTTTAAAGTATAAGAAAAGCATGCAGTTAAAGTATAAGAAAGTAAAAGATTTAAGGCCATTTTAAAGTATAAGATACGGAATTTGTGTATTATTGTTTCGATTTTTGTTTATGCATTTTTAAAAAAAAACTTGTGATAAATACTAACAAAATGGGTCAGAACTCATCCAAATTGGAGGTCTGTCCTAAGGGAACACCCTGTGCCTTCATGTTGAATAAATATGGATAAGAGACTGTAAAGTACCTTAAGATGTGGGAGAAATGGACAAAAGGGAACATACACTGTTGGCCAGCCGATGGCTCGTTTAACCGAGACAGACTGCGGTACTTAAAACTTAAACTTGAAACAAAAGAATTGTTGAAGGGAGGTTGTTTTGGCAAGTGTAGATGTAGGCATGATATGCAGGCTCACATGTCTGCATTTAATGACTGGGTGACTGAAAGTGAATGCAGGCACGAGGAAAGTGTAAAGAAAAGTAAGCAAGGGAATGCTTCTCAGCCTCTGGAGAAATTTGGAGGGAATGTCGAGAGGTTACTGTTGCAAATGGAACATAAAGAAAGTAAAGAAGGTAAAGAAAGTAAAGCAGAGGAAAAGAAAAGACAGATAGAGGATGAAGAGAAAAGAAAGGATGATGAGGAGGCTGCCAAGCAATAGGATATCCTTGTCAATATCCCTCAATTGTTGTTAATCCCACTCCAAGCGCCCCGTCCCCTGCTCCGTCCACATACCCAGCAGACTCAGGTTCAATAACAGAGCAGACAGGATCAGTCCCAGTGCCCCCTCCACCACCAGACTACTACTCGTTTACAAGCAGGAGTAACGGTAGTTCTACCACGTCTTACCATAGATTGCCAGACAGATTGGGACAATCTGGAACTGGAAGAGATATGACCAGAGGACCATTATCTAGAGACCTATGTTACCAATGAGACCATTTCCAGGACCTATGGGAAGCACAATAGAAGTGTACAGACCCTGGTCGGCTTCTGAAATAAAAGATTTAGTAACCTCTACAGTAAACCCGAAATCTGATTTCCAAAAAGCTGTTCATCAGCTAAAACTGATATACTTGTGCCACAATCCAACATTCCCGGACTGGGTTGTGTTCTTGGAAGGGTGGCTAGGTCCCATGAAGAGCAAACAAGTAATTGATGAATTAGTACAGAAATTTGGCGGAGTCGCAGATAACACAATTCCAGCCCCCAGAGGGTTATTACAAGAATTAATTGATATATTGAATGTAACGTTTCCCTTCAGAAGCGACTGGTCTAAAATTTCAGGATGTACACAGAAAGATGGGGAGGATATAGAGGACTTTGTGGGTAGATGGAGAACAATTTTTAAAGAAAATTCAGGAATAGCGGATTTGGAAAATAATCAATCACCTTTTGTTGCTGCACTTGTGCAAAATTGCAATCCTGGTTTACAGGAAAAAATTAAATTAATTTGTATTGGATGGGAAGGAAAAACGGTTGATGAAGTATTGCCAGTTTTAAAACATTGCCAGAAGCACTTAAGAAAAAAAACTCTAAAGCTTTAGAAAAGAAAGCTGCGGAATTTCTGATGGCTCAACAATGGGTACAGCCTTCTGGACCCACTCAGCAACAGTATTGGGGGAGAGGTAGAGGCATGAACAGAGGAAGAGGCAGGGGCAAAGGCTACTCCCCCCTGGGATGGCAACCTCGCTCTGCAGTTCCTCAAGGTAGTTAGAATCAGGGAAATTACAGAATGCCTCCGCCCCAAGGTCCGCAGTTCCAATTGTGTGAAGCTACAAGAGCACTTAGTGAGAAAAGAATACAAGGGATTTGTAATTTACCTAAGCCTAATACAATCAGGCAAATGAAACATTTTTTGGGAATGACTAATTATTGTAGACAGTGGATTTCAGAATATGCTACATTATCCAGACCACTGTTGGACATATCTAAGCCAGAATCACCAGAGCCTTTGCAGTGGACAGAAACAGCAAATAAAGCTTTTGATGATTTAAAATTGGCACGACAGAATACGCCAGCACTAGGGTTACCAAACTATGAGAAACTTTTTCATTTATTTGTACATAAAAAGGGAGGATTTGCACAAGCTCAAGATCATTGTGGAAAACAGCGACCTATTGCTTACATTTCAACTAAACTTGACCCAGTAGCTAGTGCTTCCGGGATGCCTGAAAGCTGTTGCTGCAACATATTATGCTGTTATACAAGCAGAAATAAGCACTTTAAATCACCCAATGGAAGTGCATGTTCCACATGCAGTGGAAGCTTGTTTATTAAAACATGCAACTCAGCATTTAACCAGTGCTAGGTCTAGCAAATATGAAGTTGTTTTACTGTCAAATTTTAACCTGACAATTAAGCGATGCAATACGTTAAATCCAGCCACATTATTACCAATTGAAACAGTAGGAGAACCACATAACTGTCAACAAATTATATATCTAGAAACAAAACCAAGACCTGACTTACAGGATTCCCCACTGACTAATGCAGACAATGAGTGGTATGTGGATGGATCAGCTTGTTACAACCCAAATGGAAAGTTATGCTCATCCTATGCTATATGTACAGTTTGAGATCGTAGAAAGTAATAAGTTACCAACTAATACATCTGCGCAAGTAGCAGAAATATTTGCATTGACAAAAGGATGTGTTCTATCAGAAGGGAAAACGTTAATGTTTATACAGACTCTAGATACGCTTTTGGAGTATGTCATGATTTTGGCAGATTATGGGAAGAAAGAGGATTCCTCACCCCTACCGATTGCCTATTAAAAATGGGAAGCATATTTTTAATTTACTAAGAGCTATTCTTTTACCATCAAGATTAGCAGTAGTGAAGTGTAATGCACACACCACTGGCATTGACACAGTCTCTCAAGGGAACAGGCTGGCTGATGTGATAACTAAATCAACGGCATTATCAGATGATACAAGTGTGGTACCGATGTGTACTTTAAAAGATTATTTGGATATCGATTGTCTTAATTCAATTGGACTAAATGAAGTATGGACTTTACAGTACCAAGCCTCTACCGATGAAATGTCTAGTTGGAAAAAGGACAATTGCTATATTAATAATCAAGGAATATGGAAGGACTGTACTTCCCAAAATACTATATCCATGGATTGTTCATTTGGTCCATCAGTTTACACATGAAGGAACAGTGTCGATGTTTAAGTGGATAACTAAAACCTGGTATGCTGTAGGACTAACACCTTATTTAAATCAAGTCGTTACTAATTATGTTATTTGCCAGAAGAACAATCCAGGTAAGGTTAAGCCTGTAGCCATGGCGGCTCATCCCCCACCTCGGGGTCCGTTTCAACATTTACAGATGGATTTTATTCAGTTACCCAAAGAAATGGGACTTGAATATATTCTCGTAGTTGTTGATATGTTCTCTAAATGGATTGAAGCTTTCCCTTGCAGGCACAATGATGCTACACTGTGGCCATATACTTGATTAAAGAAATCATTCCGAGGTTTGGAGTATCTCTCCGATTGTCAAGTGATAATGGTCCACAGTTTATTGGGCGAGTCGTAAAAGAAGTCTGCAAGGTATTAAAAATTGATCAGCGATTTCACTGCTCCTATCATCCGCAATCAGCAGGAGTTGTGGAAAGAGCAAACGGCACTTTGAAATTAAAATTAACAAAATTAACTACTGAAACAGGTGGCCACAAGTATTACCTATTGCTCTCATGCAAATGCGAGCACATACCTCTTGGACTCTCAAATTATCTCCACATGAAATAGTTTTCAGCCACAGTATGCCAATGATGTTCGATGCACCAGAAAAGGTTGATTATGATGTTCATCATATGGAAGATGCTATGCTTACGTATTGTATTGCACTCACCAAATGTTTATGCAGTTTTTTAAAACAGATACAAGAGCTCCAACAACCGGCTGCAACTGAAGCTTGTCACCGTTTGTGCCAGGAGATTTTGTATATGTGAAGGTGCTCAAACGTAAAGGTGGACTTTCTCTCCGTTGGGAAGGACCTTATCAAATATTACTAACAACCTTTACTGCAGTGAAAGTACAAGAAAAATCAACATGGGTACATGCCTCACACTGCAAAAAGGCGCCAGTGCAGGATGTAGACATGCTGAGACTGAAGGACAAGGAAGAAACAGACTCAGACAGCGAGCAGAGCGACGTGAGTCAAGGGTCGGGTCACAGCCGCAGTTCCAGTTTATCTTCTATTTCCTCCAATTAGTGCTGTCACAGTTGACGCGTATTTGGTGTTTATTAATGTGTATTGTTTTATTTTCCTTCGTAGTTAGATCTCTCGGTGTTGGGTCCAGTACTTACTCAAACACTACTAATTGCATGATCACCTCGTGTTATAGCTTTTCTATGCCAGTTAACAACTCCGTCGTTATGTGTAGCAATTTAACTGAATGTTATTCCCTTTTATCTAACAATTGTAATAGATCTATTACTTGTATACTAGTATATTCATTTAAACTTTGTTATTGTCATGCTATATTTAACTGTACTACTCAACCCCTTTGCCGTCCAAACAGAACTGGTACGGATGAATTTATTATATACAATAATAATGGTTCTAAGGAAAGTGGTGACTCAAGCAGCAATGGATTTCCTAGTGTTTATCCCTCTGCGGTTAATAATTCGAAGCTTACCAATATGCAAATCACAGATGCCAATTTATTCCCAATCAAATTTACTTTTCATTCTTCTACCCGATTCATCTCCTCCTAAGCCCTTCAAAATTTACAATATGTTTATTCAAATGGTTTCAGCGTTTGTGGATCATAAAAATAACTCACATCACTATGTTTGTGGAATGTCTCCTCGGTCAGTGCACATGGGATTCCCTATGATGACTATACCTGTGACACACTGTGAGTTTTGCAGTATGATGAAACTGTTGGGAATTGATGAAAATGGGACTCAATGTTCTCTAATTAAATCGCAGCCAACACATATCACGTGTAACAACAAACCTTTTGTACATGGTGGATGTAATCGTGACTGCGGTAAACTGTTGTTTTTGGGTTGTATAACTTATGTATAAGTAGCTCCAGTGGCCAGTTTTTCTCGGAAATTTGAATGCCAAGTTATGCAAGAATGTTTATGACTATGGACACTCTGCATACAGTACTGAAAATTCACATTTCTCTACCTATCCCCTGAATTGTGAAACAAATTTGCAACAAGCTGTACAACGCATGGTGTCATATTCGACTGCCCAAAAAATGTGCTATTCCCTCAGCACTACAGAGTTTTAAATGGAACTGTAATGATACAATTTATGATTACTTACCTGCTGACTTTCAGGGTCTCTGTGCTTTAGGGCATTATTTACCGATGATCCGATTGGCTAAACAAATGCTTACTGAGATGGGCCTCCGAACGCGCCGATCAATTGATTCATTCTATACCAATCATCAGTCTACATGGACACGGGTTTTCGGTGCGCTATTACCCAATTACGGAATGATGTGTGCCTTAGATCAAATTGAGGAATTGGCTGCCGATGTTTCGAAACTTGCTAATGCCACATCTGCAGCACTCGCATTGGTTAATAAGGAAATGAAAGAAATTAGGGCTATGACATTACAAAATCGTATGGCTTTAGATTTTGTACTTGCATATACGGAAAGAGTGTGTAAGTTAATCGGACCAGAATGTTTTATGTCAATTGATGACTTTTCGGGGCAAATTTCTAATTATACTGACCAAATTAATAAAACAGGGAAAGACGCTGCAGGAATCATTAATAACGATCAAGGCTGGGGTTTGTTTGGTTGGTTTACGGGTCTATTTGACAAATTAGAAGGATGGATTAAGACCGGAGTAATGTACTCACTCAAAATAATTATGATCATTATTGTTTTGCATGTACTCATTAAAATACTTATAACCTGTTGTAACCAATATACCAAGAGCACTGCAAAGAAGCTTGCATTTTTAGAGCCAGGAAGAAGTGAGACAAGACAAGAAATTGAGTTATCCTAAGTAAGGATAAAAGGGAGGAGTGTGGGAAATGAAAAGGCACTAAATCACGTGAAGTACAGAGTGTCTCGACAATGATAAGATTAGAGTTGTTTTTGAGCAACAGTGTAGATAATTAGAGCAGAACCAGTGTCCTTGTACTGTCTGCAAATGTATAATCAAGCTTGTGATGATTGAATGTTGCTTGTCAATCAACAGCAAGAATTGTTTGAGACACGAGTTAAGCATGAGGTGATCGCAAATAATCATATATATAAACTAATGGGACTGCCCCATTGGTAGAGGGAGAGTACTAACTCTTCTGAGAGACGTGCTATTGTATTGCCTCTCGCTTTCCCTCTCCTTGCTGCAAGTATTAAATGAACAATATTTCTGAGCTAACTCTGTTTGTGAGTGTTTGTTTAATCCTAGCTACAGCGACTACATCCTGGGTTCAACAGGGGGAGCATATTAACGTGGATTGGGGAATGGTTAACGGGTAGGGAACAAAGAGTAGGGATAAACGGGTCCTTTTCAGATTGGCGGGATGTGACTAGTGGAGTGCCACAAGGATCAGTCCTTGGGCCTCAGCTATTTACCATCTACATCAACGATCTTGATGAGGACATCAAAGTTAATATTGATAACACAAAACTTGGAGGAAGTGTCAACACAGAGGACGACATTAAAAAAATGCAGCGAGACATAGATAGGTTAGGTGATTGGGCAGGTAGGTGGCAGATGAAGTATAACGTAGGGAAGTGCGAAGTCACCCACCTAGGTAGCAAGAACAGTAGAGCGGGTTATTTTTTAGAAGGGGAGAGATTGGAATGTGTTAGCGTCCAGAGGGACTTGGGTGTCCTTGTACACCAATCACAGAAAGTTAGTCTGCAGGTGCAGCAGCAATTAGGAAGGCGAATGGTATGTTAGCATTCATTATGAAAGGATTAGAGTATAAGAGTAGGGAAGTCTTGCTGCAACTGTATAGGGCCCTGGTGAGACCACACCTGGAATACTGTGTGCAGATTTGGTCTCCTTATTTAAGGAAGGATGTGCTTGCCTTGGAGGGGGTGCAGTGTAGATTTACTAGGTTAGTACCAGGGATGAAGGGGATGAGTTACAAGGAGAGGCTGACCAATTTGGGCCTATATTCTCTAGAATATAGAAGAAGTAGAGGGGATCTTATAGAAACCTATAAGATCATCAAAGGGCATGATAGAGTAGATAGTGGGAGATTGTTTCCCCCCCTGGTTGGAGAAACTAAAACCAGGGGTCACAACCTTAAAATCAGAGGCCAGCCCTTTCGCACTGAGTTGAGGAAGAACTTCTTCACTCAAAGGGTGGTGAATGTATGGAACTCACTACCCCAAAGGGCTGTTGACGCTCAGTCCTTGAACATATTCAAGACTGAGATAGATAGATTTCTTATTGCAAAAGGGATTAAGGGATATGGGGATAAGGCAGGGTCAGGTTATTAGCAGGAGTTAGATTAGAAGATCAGCCATGATTGAATGGCGGGGCAGGCTCGAAAGGCCGAATGGTCTACTCCTGCTCCTACATGTTATGTTATGTTAGTGAGAGAACACACAGAGAGAGCCACACAGTGAGTGAGCACCAGTGAGGGAGCACAATGAGAGAGCACAAAGTGAAAGAGCACACAGTGAGAGAACACACAGCGAGAGACCACAGTGAGATAGCACAGAATGAGAGAGCACACAGTGAGAGGAGAATGAGAGAGCACAGTGAGAGAGCAAACACTGAGAAAGGAGAGTGAGGGAGCAGAGTGAGAGCTCACAGTGAGAGAGCACACAGTGAGTGAACACACAGTGAAGGAGAGCACACAGCGAGAGAAGAGTGAGAGAGCACACAGTGAGAAAGCACAGTGAGGGAGCACAGAGTGACAATACAAGGTGATAGAGCACACAGTGAGAGACCACAGTGAGATAGCACAGAGTGAGAGAGCACACAGTGAGAGGAGAATGAGAGAGCACAGTGAGAGAGCAAACACTGAGAAAGGAGAGTGAGGGAGCAGAGTGAGAGCTCACAGTGAGAGAGCACACAGTGAGTGAACACACAGTGAAGGAGAGCACACAGCGAGAGAAGAGTGAGAGAGCACACAGTGAGAGACCACAGTGAGGGAGCACAGAGTGACAATGCACGGTGATAGAGCACACAGTGAGAGAGCACACAGTGAGGGAGCACAGTGAGAGAACACACCGTGAAAGAGCACACAGTGAGGGAGCACACAGCGAGGGAGCACACAGCGAGAGAGCACACAGCGAGAGAGCACACAGCGAGGGAGCACACAGCGAGGGAGCACACAGCGAGGGAGCACACAGCGAGGGAGCACACAGTGAGAGAGCACACAGTGAGAGATCAGAGCAATGGAGCAAACAGTGGGAGAGCACACATCGAGAGACCATAGTGAGATAGCACACAGTGAGAGAGAACACAGTGAGAGGAGAGTGAGAGAGCACAGTGAGAGAGCACAGAGCGAGGGAGTATACAGTGAGAACGCACAGTGATAGAGTAGCCTGAGAGAGCAGTGTGAGAGAGCACACAGTGAGAAAGGAGAGTAAGAGAGCAGAGTGAGGTACACAGTGAGAGAGCACAGAGGGACTGAGTGCACAGTGAATGAACACACAGTGAGAGTACACAGTGAGAGAGCACAGTGAGAGAGCACAGAGCGAAGGAGTATACAGTGAGAAAGCACAGTGATAGAGCAGCGTGAGAGCACACAGTGAGTGAGCGCACAGTAATTGAGTACACAGTGAGAGCGCATAGTGAGACAGCACAGTGAGGGAGGACAAAGTGAGAGAGCACACAGTGAGAGAGCACACAGTGAGGGAGCACACAGTGAGAGAGCACACAGTGAGAGAGCACATAGTAATTGATACACAGTGAGAGTGCATAGTGAGAGAGCACAGTGAGGGAGCACACAGTGAGAGAGCACACAGTGAGAGAGCACAGTGAGGGAGCACACAGTGAGTGAGCACACACTGGGAGAGGAGAGTGAGAGAGCACACAGTGAGAGAGCACACAGTGAGGGAGCACACAGTGAGAGAGCACACAGTGAGAGAGCACATAGTAATTGATACACAGTGAGAGTGCATAGTGAGAGAGCACAGTGAGGGAGCACACAGTGAGAGAGCACACAGTGAGAGAGCACAGTGAGGGAGCACACAGTGAGAGAGCACATAGTAATTGATACACAGTGAGAGTGCATAGTGAGAGAGCACAGTGAGGGAGCACACAGTGAGAGAGCACACAGTTAGAGAGCACAGTGAGGGAGCACACAGTGAGAGAGCACATAGTAATTGATACACAGTGAGAGTGCATAGTGAGAGAGCACAGTGAGGGAGCACACAGTGAGAGAGCACATAGTGAGAGAGCACAGTGAGGGAGCACACAGTGAGTGAGCACACACTGGGAGAGGAGAGTGAGAGAGCACACAGTGAAAGAGCAGCATGAGAGAGAACAGTGAAAGCACACAGTGAGGGAGAGAGCACGCAGTGCTCAAAGTGAGAGAGCACACAGCCAGAGATCACAGCAATAGAGCAAACAGTGAGAGAGCACGCAGTGAGAGAGAACATGGAGAGAAGAGTGAGATCACACAGTGTGTGAGCACACAGTGAGAGATCACAGCAATAGAGCAAACAGTGAGTGAGTATACAGTGAGAGAGCAGAGTGAGAGAGCACACATTGAGTGAGCACACAGTGAGAGAACAGTGAGAGCACACAGTGAGAAGAGTGAGAGTGCAGAGTGAGAATGCACAGTGAGAGCAGACAGTGAGAGAACACACAGTGAGAGAACACAGTGAGGGAGCACACAGTGAGAATGCACATTGAGAGCACACAGTGAGGGAGGAGTGTGAGAGAGCAGAGTGAGACTGCACAGTGAAAGCAGACAGTGAGAGAGCACACAGTGAAATAGCACACAGTGAGAGAGTACAAAGTGAGAGAGCACCGTGAGAGCGCACAATGAGAGAGAACACAGTGAGTGAGTAAACAGTGAGTGAATACACAGTTAGAGCGCACAGTGACAGAGCACAGAGAGAACAGTGAGAGAGCACACAGTTAGAAAAGAGTGAGATCACATAGTGAGAGAGCACACAGCGAGAGAGTACAGTGAGAGAGCACACAGTGAGAGAGGAAAGTGAGAGAGCACACAGTGCGAGGACTGAGATCACACAGTGACAGAGCATAAAGTGAGAAGAGTGGGAGAGCACACAGTGAGAGAACAGTGAGAGAGCACACACTGAGAGAGGAAAGTGAGAGAGCATACAGTGAGAGCACACAGTGAGAGAGGAGAGTGAGATAGCACACAGTGCGAGGACTGAGATCACACAGTGAGAGAGCATACAGTGAGAGAATAGTGCTAGAGCACACAGCGAGAAAGCACAGTGAGAGAGCGCACAGTGAGAGAAGAGTGAGATCACACAGTGCGAGAGTGCACAGTGACAGCACACAGTGAGAAAGCACACAATGAGAGATCACAGCAATAGAGCAAACAGTGAGTGAGCAGAGTGAGAGAGCACACAGTGACTGAGCGCACAGTGAGTGAGCACACAGCGAGAGAGCACAAGTGCAAGAGCACACTGTGAGAGAGCACAGTGAGAGCACACAGTGAGAGGAGAGTGAGAGAGCAGAGTGAGACTGCACAGTGAGAGCAGACAGTGAGAGAGCACACAGTGAGGGAGCACACAGTGAGAGAGCACAGTTAGGGAGCACACAGTGAGAGAGTGCAGTGAGGGAGCACAGAGTGACAACGAACGCTGATAGAGCACACAGTGAGAGAGCACACAGTGACGGAGCACACAGTGAGAGAGCACACAGTGAGAGAGCAAACAGTGAGTGAGCACAGTGAGAGAGCACACAGTGAGTGAGCACAGTGAGGGAGCACACAGTGAGAGAGAACACAGTGAGAGGAGAGTCAGAGAGCACAGTGAGAGAGCACAGAGCGAGGGAGTATACAGTGAGAACGCACAGTGATAGAGAGCCTGAGAGAGCAGTGTGAGAGAGCACACAGTGAGAACGCACAGTGAGAGCACACAGAGAGGGAGGAGAGTGAGAGGGCAGAGTGAGACTGCACAGTGAGAGAGCACACAGTGAGAGAGCACAGTGAGGGAGCACACAGTGAGAGAGCACACAGTGAGAGCACAGCGAGAGAGCACAGTGAGAGAGCGCACAGAGAAAAGTGAGATCATACAGTGCGAGAGCGCACAGTGACAGCACACAGTGAGAAAGCACACAATGAGAGATCACAGCAATAGAGCAAACAGTGATAGAGCAGAGTGAGAGAGCACACAGTGACTGAGCACACACTGAATGAGCACACAGTGAGAGAGCACAAGTGCGAGAGCACACAGCGAAAGAAGAGTGAGATCACATAGTGAGAGAGC